GTATTGTTTATCATCACGTAAGAATAAAAAATATATGTATACATTTACATTACATACACTATATAGACATGTTTGTGTGTGTGTGTGTGTTTGTGTGTGTGAGCCTACATGGGCACAATATTTACCATCCGCATTGGACAAAATCATAAAAGTTGTATGTGTGTGCGTGTGTGTGAGGTGTGGTGTGTGTGAGGTGTGGTGTGTGAGGTGTGTGTGTGTGTGAGGTATAGTGTGTGTGGGAGATGTGTAGGTGTACATTTTATCGCCGGTAAAACGTACAAAAACAAAGTGATTGGTTTCATGCATTTTATGAAGTCAGTCAAGAAAAATCTTGAAATTTAAATTTCAGACGACGATTAAATCAAAAAAAATTTTTTTTCGAATAAAGTATCATAAGCCCGCCAGTGCACAGTCAAGTTCATGTCCTAACAATGGGGCTCGTGTATCAAAAAGCAGAAACGCATACAACAAAATAGAAATAAATTAAACTCTCTTGTACCACCTTTTGAACTTTATATTCTGAAAACGAGATAACGCACTGAAAAATGTCTTGCTCTTCCACTTAACAATTTTAAGCGTACATATTATTTTCCCGGTAAGCAGTTATAATTTTTGTGTCTTATCAACCAAGGTGATTGAATCTAATGATTTAATAGTTAACGATTTGTTGAGAATATTTATATCAGAAACAAAATTCTAAGTTTAAATATTTAAACTATCCAACAAGTGTTACATGATCATAGAGCTGTTTGAAAAGTTTTGTTTTCATTTTGATAATTTTTCAAAAGACAGTTTTGTTAGTTAAATATTTCCATAAATATAATATGCGTAGATATCAAACAATAAATAAAATAAGGATAGACCAATGTATAATATAAATTAAGTAAAATATTGAACGGAAAATACAATTTTAATTTGTTTATAAGTGCTAATCCTTTAGAAGTTTTCTTAGCAATTTCTGTAATGCACCCTCCCAAATCATGCTGCTGGAAACTAACACACCCAAAAACTTAATAGATGCAACATTTGGTATCAAAACGCTATTTAAATAAACTTCAATATTGTGTAGAATTGTAGCAATGGCAGTCATTTCATCTTTGAAGTGTTAATGTTTCGACCATTTGAAAACATCCGTGAAGAAACATTTTCTAACTCAAGGTTTAGTAAATCAACCAAGTTTTTTAACGATTTTTCAGTGACTAAAATTGTCGTGTCATCTGCATACGATATAAAATTCAACATTTTAGACGAAGCAGTCATGTCATTAATGAACAAATTAAAAAATAAGGGTCCTAGGATTGGTCCTTGCGGCATGCCATTTGTGGCTGATGACAGTGAGGACCTGCAATAACCCAGTGTGACATACAGTGTTCTTCCAAGCAGATAGCTTGAAAACCAGACGTATAAAACAAGTCTTACGCCTGCATTGTACAGTTTATATAATAATAAGTCCTGTCCAACCGTATCAAACGCATTCGCCAGGTCGAAGAGTCGATACTTTGCGCAACCGATTCTTTGACAGAAATCTAAAAACTAAAACTGCCAATTCAGTTGAGCTATTTTTTCGAAAATCAGACTGATATTGTTAAACGTGTATGAGCTGACCAGCGCACACGGAGAATTGTAACACTTTGAACTATCCTTATATAAGCGCGGATGATGAGTAAAATTAAAATATGACCTTTACACTTCACCGTGAACACCAACGATTTTTTTTTTATTAATTTTAATAAATTGGATAGTAATTACAAAATTACTGTTAGAAATATTGAAAAACTCAATCATAAGCTATCAAAAGCTAAAAAATCAGTAGATTTTTTCAAATATTGCATTAGTTATTGTCTCCTTTCAGCCTTTACAATATATATATATATACATATATATATATAAATATATATATATTTATTTTTATTATTTTTATTTATATTTATTAAAAAAAACTTGCTGCAGCTGATGGCGTGTTTTGAGTAGAAGGATAGGAATAATGAAATGTCATGCAGTGGAAAGTGCCAGGCAAGCATTTGAACCCACGTCCTCAGATTGATTTGCCGTAGCTGCACTCACTGCAGTTTATAAATAGCCGCCTGGTTGCTTCAACCTTAAGTATCAGCTTCTGCACGCGCATGCAGATCTCTCCGCTTCTGTCTGCCTCTCTATGCATGTAGACTGTGTGTGCATGCCAGCGTCTCTCTCTCTCGCTTTCTCTCTCTCTCTCTCTCTATATATATATATACATATATATATATATATAAAGAGAGAGATAAAAAGAGAGTGATAGAGAGTGGAATTGAATAATGTGAGGGAGAAAAACGAAAATTATCTATAATTATCTAAAAACTCATATATATGTATAACGTATGTTTATATATATATATATATATATATATATATCTGTGTGTGTGGTGTGTGTGTGTGTGTGCGTGTTATATACAGATGTTTGTGTTTATTTATAGCGTCAATGCTGGTTTGGGAGAGTTCATCGATGCGTTTGATGGAGTAATTGTATGTAAGCGTTCGTTGGGTGTGGTTGGTATTTATATATTAATACTATTCCGTCTTTTATATTTTTAATAATTCTTTGTTTATTTTTCTATGTTTGTTTATTCTCGTTTGTTGTGCTTATGCCTTCATTGAACTGAGGGAATGCTGGTGATGTCTGCCATATCCACGTTGTATGTGTTTGTGTTTTGGTGGGTGTGTTGTATTTTCATACTATATTTATAAAATGAAAATACAATTAATTATTTAGTGTTGTTGTGTGTGATGTGGTGGTGTGGTGTTTTGCTGTGTGGAGTGTGTCCAAGATCTGTTTTTTTTTATTTGTTAATCCGGTTCTTGTTATTTATTTTTACGTGTGTGCGTAAGTGCGTAGGTGTGTTTTATATGGCGTTGTCGTATAACAGGTTATGCATGTTTCTATGGTGGTGCAGATGAGTAATTATAAAGAAGGACGTCTGTGGAGTGATGCACGCTGAAATTCCATCTGCCTCAGATTTCCAGCCGTTGTTGAGTTTTGATTGGTTAGTAGAGTCTGTGTATATTAAAATATTTTCACACAGTTGGCATGGTAGTTTCCACATGGGCTGTTCGAAATTATTTATTGACTCTCAAGATTTTTAAATTGGCTGAGTTCGATAAGAACTAGATTACAAAAAGTCATCGTCAGAATGTTGTAGTAGTCGTTCTTTAAATGTAATTCGTTTGTATCGGTTTGTGGTTTATTGTTTGCTGGCTAGAAAGGACATTTCCACCATCTGATATCAGTCAATTGGAATGAAATGAAAAAAATAATAGCTACAAATACGTTAAAAGTTTTAAAGATGATTAAATGATCATCATATCAATCTACCCTAAATTAAGTTAAATTAAACTCTGCCCTCTTTTGGAAAAAGCATGTGTAACATTTTATACACACAATCCATTAAACAAAAAGACATGACCACAGTGCATCAACTCAATAAATTTCGGGATGGTAGGTCTTAAAAATTCAATCGATATCGCCGGTGAGCCGATTATTTATAGGGATGTTGTACATCTTCATGGAACATCCCTGATACTCGTTACTCCATCTTGTCAGATGCTGCTGCTGTATTATCACAGCATAGATAACGTAGTAATTTTTAATTACTCTTGCAATAAACATTTAGCAACATTTTATAACATTTAGCTTCACTTTTTGTAAGTCGCATTTTCAACATTTGATCAATAGAGCACATACAGTCTGTTAATATAATTGATTGAAGAATTGATTAACGCCTAGTTACCAAGAAGTAACATGATATGCAGTGGTTGCTGGCATTTTGAAAGCATTACATACTCTTTTATAATGAAACATTACATGAGATACATCTATGTAATATATTTATGTTTATTTATATTTAATAATAATAAATACTCATTATATATATACGTGTGTGTGTGTGTAAAATTATTTATCTTGCCTCTTTTCTTCAAATAATTGAAGTTGTTCTAAATGCCTAAATAAATAAAAAGCAATAAATTAAGAGTTGGACAGAAAAACATTAACAAAAAATTGTTGAAATGTTTTTGAATAATGCACATCAATAATGATTCAGATACTAGATGTGAATGTCTTTTTAAATCAGCAAATAATTTTTTTTATTTTGCATTTTGATATTTTTTGTTTTTTAAGTTTGTTTTCTTGTTTTCTTCAATAATGTTTTCTTCAATAATATTTTTTCTGTAAAATTTTTTTTATGTTTATTTTTGTAATTTTTTCACTGCGTTTTCAGTCAGCCGAAAATTCATCGAGCCGCAACCAAATTAAAATGAGAAGAAAAATAGAGAGATAAAGTTATAGGAAGTGAAGATGGAGAAAAAACTATAAAATGAAAGAAAACATTTCAAAAAATACATAACAAAGAAAAAAGTCCAAATGAATGAAAATTGTTTATAGTGGAGACAAACAGACATTTACGGTTGGCTAGCTGGTTGGTTGGATGGTTGGTTGGTTACTGGTTGGTTGGTTTGCTGGCTAATTGGTTGGTTGGTAGTTGACTGGTTGGTTGGCTTGTTGGCTGGCTGGCTTATTGTTTGGTTGGTTAGTTGGCTGGTTGGTAGTTTGGTTGGTTATTTGGTTGGCTGGTTGAAAGGTTGGTTGGTTAATTGGTTAGTTTTTGTCTTTTTTCTTCTATCTGTTTGTCTCCTTGATACGATGAAAGCATTTGAAGTTGCAGACAGATCAATAAACTCTTTGTTATAAATAAAATTGGGTTTAAATATTGTTTAAACTTTTTTCAGAATTGTTTTAATTGAAGAATTACAAATTTAATTTTAATGAAATCTCATTCTAACCTTGTAAATTTTGTTGACCCTACCCTACATGACACACCTTATGCAGATGTTTAAGAGGCATTAATATTCTGGTCGTCAAATTTTCTTCCAAGGAATTTAAAATTTAGCTGCAATTCATCCTTGCAGCTAAATTTTATTTACGTAAATAACGGCATCTTTTTGTCATCAATGTTTGCAATTAAAATTTTCAGACACCTTTGTAACTAATTTTAATTGAAATATAAATGTTCAAGAAGTTCGAGAATGTTCATTGATGTTTCATGTTCTCCCCTTCCGCCACTACTCCTAAACTTTATTCACCTCGTTCGCTGAACTTTCACCTCGTTCGAGATTAAAATTATTTTCAACATTTCTTCAAATTTTTTGATCTTGCCAATGAAATTGTGTTCTACCTACCGTTTAAGAGGCATTAAAGTTGTCCCAGATCAGATGGGTTGAATCATCTGATGGAACTTTTAAAGAGAGCAGTCAGATAAGTTGCCTCAGTGGATTGAAAGTTATCACTCAAGAGGGCTCGACAGAGCCGATCGCAACTTTGCTTTCTTTGTTTTCTCACAAAATGAATGAGAGTTATCGTGGAAGCAATGAATCAAAAGTCAATAGAACGGAGGAGATAACGAGAATAAATATGAAACTTACATGTAGGGTTTCTCGCTCTCACGCTGATGGATGTCTGATTCATTATTATTTATTAGCATTTGCTCATTTGTTTATTATTTATTACTTTTATATGCGCACAATCATCATTATAAATTAGTTTCTACATGTTCATAATTACAGATTTTTATTTCCACACTCGAACAATAGTGCAATTGCGTGATTGTGTCGAAGGATCGATTGCGGCCTTGCATGAACGTTCCTTATAATTTCACTGCCTCCACTCAACCACAGACAAGCTCCTAATTTTGGTAGAAAAATAAATCGAATTTTTTCTTAAGACTGAACAGGTCTTTCTGAACAGATCTTATTTTAAACCTATTTTTCATCATCCAATCATTCGTAAAATTAATTCGTATCTAAATTTTTAAAAAATTTTTAAAAAATATTTAAAAAAATTGTATGCACCAGTATCAATTATAAGCAACCGTCTTGTAGTTGAGAATAGCCATGTCATGAATAATTTTTAAATTTAAAAACCTCAAAACAGAACTGTGAAGACAGAAACGCTCAATAATTCAATTCAAAATAGAATGTTAAAGTGAAAAGGTGAGTTAGTTGGCAGGTTCGTTTATGTGACGCGCAAGATTTTAGATGGGAACGTTGCTATTAACTGATTGATGAATGTTTGTGTTTGCCCATCAGTTGGGCCGAATGTTTCGATGCATGCTGGTGTAAATATGTTGGTGTTGTCATTTTAGGTGGCATATTTTACGTTGACGTAAAACCGATGTATCTTGTGGCCACTGTGTGGAGAAAAGTTACATCCCACGCCAAGGAGCGTCCTTGGACCCAAGAAACCACGGTGTCTCCGTCAAGGATGTAGTCACATTTTTTTGAACAGTTCAACTGGTTCCTTTATTACCGGAATGACAGCTCTTTGAAAAACTCTGACTACAAAATCATTTATTGCAGAGTGTCGGGCTTGTCTTCCTGGTCTCAACCTACAAGATATTCCATGGTAACCCAGCAATTCCATCTTTGCACCCCACTTGCAATCATACTCCGTAACCACGGACAATCCCAATCTCAATCCCAAACTAACACGAACAACAGCATCATCCAATCTGATACCACAGACGGTGCTCGGAAATGTTCTCAACCATTCGGAGCCCAACTCACTCCGAACTGTCATGACCCTGGCTTTATCATTTAGTGAGTTGGTAGCCGCGGATAACCGATCAATCAAGCGATTCAATGATGATGCGTGCCATTTTTTTTTGCAACACGGTATTTATGTTAACGTCACCACGAAAATTTGTTGTATGTATGTATGTTTGTGTGTATGTATGTATGTATGTATGTATGTATGTATGTATGTATGTATGTATGTATGTATGTATGTATGTATGTATGTATATATGTATATATGTATGTATATATGTATAAATACATATATACATACATATATATGAATGATTAACGATTAATGACCATGTAAAAATGCTAACAAAATCATGTTCCTTACTGTTAAGACTATTAAATAATGTAACGTAAATCGCAGAATAAATCTACAGCCGAGTCGTTCATGCGTGCATTCGTACAGTCTCGACTAGACTACTGCAGCAGTTTATTCAACGGGTTGTCGGACAGATCTGTCACTACACTCAGAACAGAGCAGCCAAACTGATTGTTGGTGGTTTGAAGTTTGACTACGTGACACCAATATTAAAAAACCTTCACTGGCTTACGATTAAAAAGAGAATTACACATAAAATCCGCGTCACAATGTACCAAGCTATTCACGATCTGCTTCCAGAATATCTGATTAACAAAATAAAATTAATAAAATAAAATCAGTTATGATGAGTGGTATGAGCCTCAAATCAGATGATGGTGTTTTGCTCGTTGTTCCTGGCTGGCACTCAACTGCAGACAGCATCACGAAATATCGCAATTTTAGGACCGATCGTATGGAACAATCTGCCAAAGTCACTCGGAATATGAAACCTCAAGTTTTAAGAGTTTAAAAAAATTTTTAAAACTTATTTTTGCTATAGTTATATTTTTGACATTGACTAATCAATTTTATCGTTCGCTTTGTTGATTGCCGTCTCATGTTTTATTTTTCTTTACTATGTTAACTGCTGATAGCGCTTTTAAGAATTTTATTTTTTAATTAGCGCTTTATAAACTTAATAACAATAATAATACATACATACATACATACATACATACATACATACATACATACATACATACATACATACATACATACATACATACATACATACATACATACATACATACATACATACATACATACATACATACATACATACATACATACATACATACATACATGCATACATACATACATTTTCTGGGGTGAAAAATTGGAAAAATTTAACTTTATTATGTCTAGACTGAAGGTAGTTTCGAAGCATGATGCCTTGACCTTGCTGTTGCACGCGATGTACTTGCCTCGTTTGACTTTTTTTTAAGAACGTCGCCCAGCCTCGATAATTTGATGCTTCAATGTTTTGATCAAACTCTCCGTGACGGCTTCCAATCGATTTTCAACGTTTCCCTTGACCCAAAAGGTTGGTTACAGGCAACCCTGCCCATCTCGGTTGGTGGCTTAGGTTTAGGTACCGTGGTGGATTTAGCACCTTCTGCCTTCTTGGCTTCTGCTGCTGCCACGGTTCCTCTCCAAAATTTGTTGTTGCCCAGGGATAAAATATATTCCGACAATTTCAGAACCCAAGTTTTTGATGGGTTCCGGACCGTCCACGGAGCGGGGATTTGTATCGAAACCCGTTCTCAAAAGGAGTTGAACGCTCCATTTATCAGCAGCTCAGTTGCTAAGCTGCTGGATTTGAACCAATCAAATTTTGATAAAGCCAAGATAATGGCTGTAAAAAGTGAGTTGGGATCATCTTGGTTGAAGGCGGTTCCAAATTCCGCCTGTGGTACCAGGCTGGACGACTCTTGTGTTCGTGTCAGTTTGGGACTGAGACTCGGTTTGCCCATTTTAACCGAGTATGTTTGTTTATGTGGAGCCAATGTTGAACCCCTGGGCTACCATGGTCTTTCGTGTCCATTGGGCCCTTGTAGACAGGCTCGACACTCGGCCATGAACGACTTTTTGGACAGGTGCTTTCAGAGGGCAAACATAGCCACAATTAAAGAACCCACGGGTCTTATGGAGGAAGGTAGCCTCAGGTCCGATGGGTATACTATTTCACCATGGGCGCAGGGACGTTCCCTTGCTTGGGATGTTACGTTCCCTCACACCATGGCTGAAAGGTACATTAATCTTACCTCACAGGAGGCGAGTGCCGCTGCCTTAAGAGCCGCAGACTTTAAAAATTTAAAATATGCGGCTCTTGCAGAAAGCAAAATTTTTCAGCCAGTCTGCATTGAGACCTTTGGTCCAACCGATGCTCAGACTCAGAGTTTTCTGAATGAACTCTGTAGCAGGATTGTAGAAGTATCGGGTGACCCATTAGATAAGAGTTATGTAAAGCAATTCTTTTCTATTTTACTTCAAAAATATAATTCTTTCTGTATTGTGGATGGAGCGTTAAAATACCTGTCTGTGCGAAGCGTTTAACATAGATTAAAGCTGAACCCGGATATGATTATTACTTCCCTATAGTTCTAATCAATTATGGGTTCATACATACATACATACATACATACATACATACATACATACATACATACATACATACATACATACATACATACATACATACATACATACATACATACATACATACATACATACATACATACATACATACATACATACATACATACATACATACATACATACATACATACATACATACATACATACATACATACATACATACATACATACATACATACATACATACATACATACATACATACATACATACATACATACATACATACATACATACATCTTCAAATCACTTCAAATCACTTTTATTCAATCAAACAAAACAAAAGCATGAATGATTCGGAGACCAAAAAAAGAAAATTAATTCTTGTGGGCTCGGCCACCGTGCAGCTCAAAATTGCTTCTCAATGATAAAATAAAATTGTCAATAGGAGAAAATGTATCAATGTTAATGAAATATGTACACACTTATATACATATATATACATATACATTATTATCCTTGAAAAACAGAACTTTTCGTAATTAAAAAATTTTTCAGTTTATTTTTAAAAAGATGCAAAGTGTTACAATCTTTAATTTCTTGTGGAATCGTCTTACATACATACATACATACATACATACATACATACATACACACATACCTACATACATACATACATACATACATACATACATACATACACACATACCTACATACATACATACATACATACATACATACATACATACACACATACCTACATACATACATACATACATACATACATACATACATACACACATACCTACATACATACATACATACATACATACATACATACATACACACATACCTACATACATACATACATACATACACACACATACATACATACATACATACAAAATATGATGTATGTGAATTTTCATTTTTATGCAATGCATATTTTTATTCACTGGCGCCATCCCATGTATCTGTGTGTGTATTTGTACGTGTACACGTCCATGCATGTGTGTGTGTGTGTGTGTGTGTGTGTGTGTTTTCAAGTAAAAACTTGTATGTATCATTATGTTCATGTGTGAGTATCTGTCCGTGTGTTTGTATGTAAGTGTGTTTGTATGCTCATAGGAATGTGTACATGCATGTATGTGTGTGTGAGTGTGTGTGTATGCTTGTGTGTGTGAGTGTGTGTCTGTGTGTGTGTGTACAAATATGTTTATGGGGATGCGCTTGTACACTTTTATGCTACTTATTGAGAAAGCTGACAAAATCAATATGAGAAGGATCCATGGTAACGATGCTTTTGTTGGAGCTGTTGTTGTTTTTGTTGCTGTTTTTTTGTTGTTGCTGTGTTGTTGTTGTTAGAGCTGTTGTTGTTTTTGTTGCTGTGTTGATTTTATTGTTGGAGCTTTTGTTGTTTTTGTTGCTATGTTGTTGTTGTGTTGCTTTTTTGTTGTTGGGTTTTGTTGTTATTGTTATTTGTTATTGTTTTTTGACGTTGTTGTTTTTTACCATAGTTTTTTTATTGTTGCTAGTTTTTTTTGTTTGTTGTTGCAGTGTTGTTGTAATTTTTGTAATTTTAGTTGTTGTTGCAGTTGTGTTGTAATTTTAGTTGTTGTTGTTGTGTTAGTTGCTTAGCCTTGATTTTTGTTTGACTTGCTGTAGTTTTTGGGTCTTCGGGATGTTTCGTTTTTTAATGCTAATTATTGGCTACGTTGTCAGTTGTTGTTGTGTTGGTTGTTGTTGTTGTTGTGTTGCTGTGTTGATTGATGTTGCTGTGTTGGTACAGATGTTGTTGATGACGGTGACAATGTTGTTATTTTTATTATTGATGTCATTTTTAGGTTTTTTAGTTGCTAATGTTGATGTTGTTGTTGTGGTTCTCAGTGTCCTTGTCCCTACTTGATTTATTCACTGATTGATTTATTGTCCTGCTTGTTTTTTAAGTTCCGTCAGTTCTTCATGCATCGATTTTTTCAAGAAGAAAAAACCCCACACACGAAAACACACTCGAACCTTTCATGAATACGTGCAAAACTACGCGCACATTACATTACAGGCAAGGATTTCTCTTGCTATCGAACTCGACCACCGCAAAACCCGAGCAAGCGCTTTTATTCATTACGCCACCAAACCGCTCTTTATATGCGTAGCAGCTATATATACATATGTATTCAGTAGTTAAGATATGTGGGTAGAGCAACGATTGTGATTATGATGAACGTTCATGCTATCAACCATATGATGATTGTATCATGCTATCAACCATATGATGAATGCATCATGCTATCAACCATATGATGAATGCATCATGCTATCCTTCACATTAATATTATTGATGACAGAGTTAGAGTTAATGTTGTTAGTGTGAATAGCAGCAAACCAAAAATCAACACAAATTTCAAACAAACCATACACAACGGCTAACTTTTTGTTTTCATGTTGATAATGTTGTCGAAAATTACGTCGTTGTTGATGTTGTTGTTGCCAACATTTTTATGTTAATGTTGTGTTTTTGTTCGGTTGTCAGAGAGTTGTTGTTTTTGATGTTGTTGTCAATAATGATGTTGATTATGAAAAAGTTATTGTTGATGTTGTTGTTGTTGTTGATATTGAGGATGTTAATAAAAAAAAAGTTGATGTTGTTGATGTTGATATTATGGTTGTTAATATTGTTGTTGATGTTGTTGTAGGTGATGTTGTTGATGTTGATTTATAGTTGTTGATGTTGACGTTGTTGTTGACGTTGTTGTTGTTGTTGTAGCAAAATTAGCAGGACGTCTATGGCACTTCTGTTTTCTGCATGCATTGATTCCACTCTTCAGTGGTGTCGTGCTGATGGGCGGGCTGTGGTGATGTGATGATGGTGATGATGATGATGATGAT